TAAAGAAGAGCAATTATAGATAAACGAATACGGGTTGCAAGAACAGGAGGTACAACAATTAATATCTTGATGGGAAAGGAAATTGTTGGTTGGAGTTACTGAGGTACACATAAATTAGAGGCTCGAATTAAAACAAAAAGTAAAATAGTCAATTTCTATAAGGTCTTAAGAGAATTGACTCGTTTGTCGTATAATATATAAATATAAACTACTACTAAAATTGCTGTTTTTTCACAATCAATAATACTAAAGTACTAGTAGATTAAGTTTTAAATCAAACCAGTACTCCAATGCTTTTTATGTTATTTTCACTGCTCTTGAATCCAATTTGATTATTAATAGCAATCACTTCTTCTTGTTGTGTGTTGCTATCGTTCCAATAACACCAAAGTACTCTGTAGAGTTATTTTTTCTCTTTGAATTTCTGCACGCACATGATGATGATGCTCAATAGCCGACCGACTCTGCGAATCATCTCAGGGAGTCTGAGATACACAAAGGATCATCATGTTGTGTAGGCAGCCGTAATGATTTGTGTGTTTGCAAGAGGCTGTTGAAACTTATCGTGATTGGTAAACAAGGTTGTTTTCGTTTTTGACTGAATTTTGCTTTTGGCTCCTAGAAAGGGCCTATTAATTGCTCGCGCGTTTTTTGAAAAATTGGCGTAATGCAATTTGGATTTTTGCAACTTGCATAAATATTGCCATAAAAGGCATTGAGGAAAGAGAGATGATTTGACATGATTATGATTTGATTGTTGATTAATCTACTGTAGATTGATAGAATGAAGGTATTTTTGTAATTTATATTGAGGTGGTCTAAATTGTTGCCTTAAATATTTTTGACCTGAAATGAACAAATTCATTTATGGGATTTGTAACAAGTAAATTCTTGTACGGGATCAGTTGGTTATATTTGGATTGTTTATTATTGATTAAGATTGGAAAATTGTGCCAGTACAGTATTTAACAGTTAAGCATTGACAATGACATAGGCTCCTTCATCACCAATTTGAATTACTGGACACAATAATTTTATTTGTAAACAATCACCTTCTTATCATTGTTACAAACATAAAGTTCTCCAGTATATTGATCCAAACACATTCCATAAGAAAACATTCCAGATTTGAAAGTCTTAATTAATGATCGATTCTCTTGCTTGAAAGCACATATTTGTGACTTTCTAATATTAACAATCAGAATATTCTTCTCAATTGGATCGAAAAGAAGACCACCACTATCAAAACCTATTATTCCTGTCGAGGGTCTTGATTTATCACTAAAATCAAAACTTGAACTTTTTTGAAATTCTTGATTTTCATTTCTTTCATAAATATGGATATTGTCATTACAAGCATCTCCAACAAGGAAGGAATTTGAATTGAGAAAAGCAATTCCATAAGGTGTTGAAGCTAAAATCTCTTGTACTTTCATTCCAGTAATTGAATCCAATACGTGAATTCTTCCTATTGACATATCAGAGACTAAAATTTGATTGTCATGATAATCTCTGTACAATATTTCAACAGTTGAAGGATGATTAAGATTTTCTACCTTCCAAATACAGAGATTTTCTATTGGCTCATTATTTGAAAGTAGCAATTGTTCAAGATCAAATTTAAACAAGACTGAAGGAGACATTGAAGTGACATATAAATATTCCTTTTGATTAATCTTTTCAATATTTAAATAATTAATTCTATAGTTTTGAAATTGAATTGATTTTTTAAATTTTCTTGAATGCAAATCAAACACTTGAATTCTGTCTCTGTCAGTTATTATGACACAGTGAAATTGATGTGAAATTTTTACATCCAATGGATGCACAAAGTTGTCTTTCTCCTTGATTTTCCCATTGCCGAATGTGTGGACAGGAGTAAAATTCAAGGAGAAACCAACCTTGTTTTTTGTTTTCGGGTTGAATTGCTCTTGAAGTTTAGAATAGAGAATAGTTTGCATTTCAGCAAGATTCTCAACAAGAATACATTGTGTGGGTTCAGTTTCTGCCATTTTTTATTTTAACGTTGATCTACTCCAATTGTAACCTTAGAAATAAATCTATTGTTGTTAGAAAGATGGGATCTCATTACAGGATTGAATCTGATGGCTAATCATTAATTGCATAAAATTTTGGCATCTCTTCGATAATGGTCAGGCAACTGTTGTAGAGATAGGCCATTCTTTCCTCTCCATCAAAATCATGGAACACTAGAGTATCTGTACTGTATTTGTTTCGAATACCTTTGCAGTATTGGTCAAATGGAACACCTTCATGTTGAATATGTTCAAGAATATACTTAAATCCATCAAGCAGGGTAACACTTGTGATACCTGGATAAGCCATTCTACTCATAAGAACTACTTTGAAATAGTTTACAATTCGTTCAATACATGAAACATCCAAAATTGTTGGTGTAAAATAGTTCGTCATTATTTCTATTGATTCTGTAAGATCGTCCACTTGATGATAGTCCAAAAAATGGCACACAATATAATGATTGATTAATTCTTTGAATGATTGCATGCTTATTTTCAATCTTGTCGTTAGAATATTTAAATCTAACTTTTCAGGATAGATTTCAAAGAATGGCTTGAGGGAGGTGTTGATCGAACAGAAGGAGTAGCTTTTAAACACTGAGTAAATAAAATTGTAATTTCCTTCTGAAGTTTCAATTATTTCATAGGGGTCAAAATTTTCAATTTTGGGAAGCAAATCTGGAATCTTGGAGGAATAATTGAATTTGTGAAATATTATTTTGTAATCTTCCTTTCCAATCAATCCTCTTTTTTCTAATAACTCTATTATGACTTGTTCCTCTTTCTGTAAAAAAATATTGCGCTCTGCAATATTCGAATAGTGAATAGATTTTTCTTCGATAATTTCCAAAAGCTGACAAAGACTGTCCACAAGTATTGT